CAATAACTGCTCTAAAACGGAAATTCTTAAATCCCTTTATATATGCATCCACTTTGTAACTGGTAATAAATTGTGTTTCTTTAGAGTCAGTGTAAGGCCTTTATCCCAAAACATCAAGGAGATTTCTCCCCACGCTAATGACAGCCAGTACCCATTGTCGTCAGGATTGCATGGACCCTTGTCCCCCTTAGGCATTGGGGGTTGGAAGACATACAAAAATACGGGCTAGTCCTTTTGGCGTGTTTTTTTTCGATAATACAAAAACACGGGACTGTCCGTTTTCGAGGGTACATTTAAACTAACAATAATCCGTAACGAACCGTTAAGAGACCTGCATAAAAGAACGAGAAAATCCGGGTGAAACCGTTAATGGGTTAAGACATACAGTGTTAACTGTTTCCTAAAAAAATACGCTTTCTCTCTTCTTCCAATTTTAGAACAAAAGCTGAAGTTATACCTCCATTTGTTGACTTCCTTTTGACTTTTGTCTTAACTGAGAACCCGAGTAAAAGTGTTTTTAAAATTTGATTCGGTTTTACTTGCCTATGTACAAAGTTTTTTTTTTTTTTTTTTTTACAAACGAGAAGTAGTTAAATCTAGAAAATTAATATGAATTCCAAATCCCTGCAAAGAATTATGCCTCGTATGGGTCTCGAAATCGATTACAACTCGAAATATAACGGGAAATTGTTAATCTGAATTGATTAGTAAAAACTGGTAAAACTCTTTGAACTGTCGAGGGCATTTTATAAAATCAAATTTATATTATGACTTCAAAACTGAGTTTTTTTTTTTTTTTTTTTTTTTTTTTCATTTAGTCAAACAGCGTACATTTTTCATTCCATATTCAGTTACTGTTTATATCTAAGATTTTGTCACGTAGTTTTTTTTAGTAATTTCTAATTTTGATTCAGAAATTAAAGTTTTGTATTTTTCGTTTTAGATGTATAAATTTCACAATGAATGACTGAGATTATTTTTTATGAGAAACTGTTAGTTATTCAAAAAGGGCTAAGATTATAGCCAAGTGGCTAGGAGGGATGTAAAAAACCATCGTTAAATTTAATAGGAAGCAGATTGTGGACTATCGCATCCTATGAAAAGAACAGAATGCTTGGAAGGATGGTGATGAAAATGTGCGGGATAGTCATATTTGAGCAAATTTTGACATTTCTTCGAAATCGAAATTTTCGAGATTTCAGCTTTTGTTCTAATTAGCCGAAATGTTGAATCTCTAATTTTTAGAATTCACCGTACCTCACTGTCTCAATGTAGAGAAAATATGAAGAGAACGCCATCGGTGAAGAAAATCTTAATGAACTTTTTATTGATCCTCAATAAATAAAACTCATCTAACAAATGAAATATGCGTATTTCAATGTTTAGTTTATTTACATAATTAAAATCTTTATGCAGACTGACAAGAAATCTAATCTTGTGGTCGTTTATGAATGTGTTTTTAATTGACTTGAAACTAAATTGTCAAACGAATTTAAATGATATTACATTTAAAAAGAAACTGCATAAGAACTAAAATATTATAATAACCAAAGAGATAATCATAAAACTTAAGTACATTGGAAAAAATCTAATTATTAACATAAGCATTACAGCAATCCTGTTATTTTTGTTCTATGCTGAAAGTACTTGAAAACTGGTCAGTATTGGAGATTCAAATTTTATACGATTAAATAAATAAGTATTTATTCGTTGCATTAGATACATTCTGGTATAAGATTAAAAAACTCTGCAATAAAACAAGAAACAACATTTTTTTTTTTTTTTTTTAAATGTCGGACATTTGTTTCTCAAGGATTTCTCAGGAATGGCCCAATCCATCAGCAATCTAGTCCTCTCGTCACCGTCAGCGTTGCCCATTGTGTACAATAAAGGATGAACTCATGTTACCCCTGAGAGAATGGGGAGGAGGATAACCACAAATAACTAAGCCTTACGTGAAAGCAAAACCCGCACCCTGAAGGCTCATACTAGCAGACAGCCTCCTATATCGTCCAAGACAGCACACGAACAATATTTCAGGTGCTTTCACATAAATTATCAATAACTATAGAAAGTGTCCGCTACCCTAATATATACCTTATCTGTATAGGCATTTTTTAATGTAATGGAAAAATTTCCATGACGCTCTCATCTTGAGTTTTCAGAAATTTCACTATTAACGTCGATTTCATTAGTCACTTAATCACTCTAATTGCATAACATTCATTTATGATTACTATTTCACAATCAGATTTGCTGACAGTAACTTACTATAAACTGCAATGTTGTTATTATTATTAAACGAATATCTCGAGGAATCCAAATAAAATTCTTCGCCATATTTTTACTTCCTTGTACGAAGTAAAAAGGAAGTATTGTAATCGCGAAAGTTTCACACAGCATATTTCAACGAAAATATCCATTCTGACTGCTATCGAATGCAATTTAACGATGTTTTTTTGCGTGATATCTGTACGTAAGGACAGAATAAAAACTCTTTTCCTCAAAAAAATTATAAAACTGCTTGAAAATTAATTCTGAAGAGAATTTTTCGTGGCGTCTGTACGAACGTATGTACGTACGTACGATAGCATAACTCAAAAACGTAGCCTCAGAACGTTGAAATTTTGTATATAGGAACTGCTATAACATGTAGATGTGCACCTCGTAATTGGTTGCAATCGCCGCACAAACGTATATAATATATTTATATATATATCCACCTGTTACCCGGCTCAGTGATCTCAGTTTCTTACTCTTATATGTTTGTAAATTGTACATTTTTTGCTTAAAAATGATTGAATTATGTTGTTTTTAATCTTCCGGTTAAGGTTTTAGCCTTTAGTAATCTGTATCAATATTTTTAGAATTATCCAATTTTAATTGTTTAGTGCCGCTAAGCCTTAAGCCTAATATGTTTTGATGGCGGCCTTGATTGTTTACATTGAAACAGCAGACTAGTGTATTTGTTTGCCATCTAGAGAAACTTAGCTTCGCAAACAAAATATCGCCTTTATTTTTATTATGCCATTAATCAGCTTAAATCCTTTCTGGAATTTTTCGAGGATAAGTGTGTTAAAAGATTTACCTTCGTATTTTTAATAGATATTTTTTCGAGTTTTTTGTATTTTTTTTTGGCCTTCTCGCAAGTGAGAACGAATTATTAATGAAGAATCTCAATCTGTCTGTGAAAAACTGTTTTTTCTTTTTGGTTTTGTTTGCTTGAATACAAGGCTTATAAGATTGCGCGGGGCAGTGAGTAGGTCAACTGAAAATTTGTGGCTGAAGAAAATGAAAATATAATACGTAAGTAAACCTAGCGCCACAGTGTCGCTAGTAAACAATGAATAAGAGCGTTTATCTATGTGGTTAGGCCTATAAACTCGTCGCGAAGTAGGTTCGGAAGAATAAGTGAAAATAAAATGCAAGAAAAATGCGTATAATTATATCCCGTCAAGGAAGTCATGTGGTGCACACATCAATGTAAACGGGTTCCGTGATACGTGTCCTTCCAAAAAATCTCCAATTGGGATAATAAACGTATGAATATTTTAAGGAAAAAATTGAACATACCTAAAAAATCTCGACTACTTGTATTGGCAGTGGTCTGACTGGACTAGATGAGAAGGAATGGTAAGTATGCAAGAGCTGATGAACAACTGCTTGTACAAAATACAAAACATAGCCTAAAAAAGTAGCCCTCGTCAGAGGGAAAAGGAAATGCTCGGTATAAGGGAAAAATTTTTTTATTATTGTTGAATTATGGCAATCCGGTGACTTGTGCTTAGGTGAGAAGGCTAAGGAAAAGTGTTCCATATTGCAAACGCAGGGTCGAAGCTAGGCATTTTGCCTGCCGGTGCAATCTCTGTGGCTTATAAATTTTGCCGCTTGAGTCTTTCTAAATTCTATAAAATCCCCCCCCCTGGTGCGATTGCATAGACTCTGGTACCGGCTCTGTATCTCCGTTTCACTGGAGAAACGGAGAAAAATAACTATGCAGCTTCTCAGTTGAGAATTCAAGGTTGGGACACCCTTGCGAGTTGAACTATTGCTCAGGCAGATATGACTAATGTCATACAGAGTGTTTTAAGCAGATGCTCGCAATACCTGAACTCAGTTTACTGCTCTTGTCTCTTACTTTAGAACAGGTATTTCAAAGTCAGAAGGGAAGTCATTTCTTCCCTTCTGACTTGCCTTATAACCATGGTAACGATGATGCGGAAGATGATCGAATCCTCTAACTACTTCTATGTGGTAATGAGAACACAAGTTACAACAGTAAACAAAGGGTCGCGGTATGAATTTAGCGCTTATTTTAAAGTAAGAGCTTATAAGAACAGATTGGGGCTGCGAAAATATATTAGTGTAATACTATCCACTACATTTAAGTTTTAATTTACCTTTACATTGGTGTAAATTTCACTCCCTGTAGCAATGCGAATTTTGCCAGAATTTGTGTGTTAACAATTTGGCGAATTTTAACTTTTTCTAACAGATCTGAGTTTATTTTATGGTAATAAATGGTAAAGTAGACTCGTGGATATATATATATTAGAGATTCTCTAACTATTTAAAATTTTAAAGTTTTTTCCGTCTAATTTTGACTACATAATTTGTCTGCTAGTTTTCTCAAATTGATGTAAATCTTCAAAACGTTTTCTAACATATTTATTAAAATCTCATCCGTATATAAGCGAAACCGTGCGATTCAGACACGCATAATTCAAGGATAAGCTGTATGTTAAATATATTTGTTAACAGTATGTACAATGATTTACAGTATTTCAGATTCTTCAACATTCTCCAATGTTCCCGCCATTTTCATTCTTACTGGCTAAATATTTCATGCATTCATAGAGTAATTCATAATAAGAACAAATCTCTGATCGAAATATACGTAATAAATATTTTGCATTTTAGAAATGACAAATTCCATAACACAATAATTTTTTGAAAGATAGAGTATTTGTAAAATAGATTATAATTTTTTAAAACATTACCTCTGTTTCCTACTTTCAGTATTAAGTCATCTTCAATAGCATTACTTCTAAGCCTTGAGCCACTGGAGCGGTTACTGGAAGAGGATTTGCTAGTTCTCTGCCTGACTCCAGTTGTTCGTGGAATTTTTGAACTAACTGGCCGATCACTGGACGAAGATTCTTCTTCTATATACGATTTTACTAAAAAGGGACTTCCATGTATGTGCTGTCCTAGGAACATGATGCTAAGCTGGTATGTGCCTTCTTTTGGAACGGTGTAATGCATATCATAACTGCCATTTTTTTGGTCCACTATTTTGGGCTTGCAAGAAAATGATAACTCTGGTGATGTTAGTTCCGCTTCGAAAACATCCCCAGCTCCTCGCACTATGTCATTCCTGCGATCTTTAGCTGTTATGACAACCAAAGTTTGTTTGTTAACTCCACAGAGCTTTAGTCCTTCACCGGCAGCTGTGCATTGATGCGCCACAGCATTTGTTGTTACAACATTACCTACATTTAAAATAGCTATCTTCGCTGAATCAAAGCCTTCAGATCTAAAGATCAAAAAATCATTTTCTTCTGGCATTTTCTGAATTCGCATATCTGCAAAGTCTTCTAGCTTTTCTGCCATTTGTTTCGTAACTAATATAACCTCTGTTTCACTGCCATAACTTAAAGCATTTTCAGTAAATTCTGAACTGGCGAGTATATTTGATAAACACATGTCTAGTACATTCTTTTGTTCTTCGAGCACATGGCGTTTTTTGGATGCAATTTGATCGAGTTCTTTAATTAGTTCATTTTTTCTTTGTTGAACAGCTTTTTCTAAAGAATCGAAACAATCAATAATCATCTGAGTATTCTTAGCGTGCCTGCTGGCTAAAGAAAAAGTAACATTGTTTACCGATTCTATGGCTTCTTTTAATGTAGGTACATGATCATATGCTTTTTTTAAAAGCTCCCGCAAGTTGCTTTTTTCATCTTTAACTGCATCGGTGAGACGAGCTGTCATATGCCCTGCGTGTTCAATATCAGTGCATGTTACACAAATGGCTGTTTCGCATTCCTTGCAATAAAAGCGAAGCGATTGATTAACGTGCTTCGGACATGTCAATAAGTCTTTCTTTTTTTCACCTTTCTGTTGGCTTCCTGTAAGATTTCCTATCACGTTATTGTCCTCGCTGAACAAACAATTATCTCCAAGTGGTACAAGTGTGTGCAATGTAGAATTGGGATCTTCTTGGTGCTTAGATGAACAGCGTTGACACAGATAATTATTGCATTCCAAACACTTAGAGATGCCGGTCCTAGATTTGAATTGGCAGTTTCCGCAAACCGATGTCTGTTCCAGAACATCCATCAAATTGCTTATAAGGAAATTATTCTGAAGCCCCGAAACGCCTTGCTTTGGTAAAATTGATTGCTGACGGCAAAGGGGACACGATAATGTCAAGCTCTCTGGAGGTATATACTGCAGAAGACAGCGTTCACAGAATGTATGCAGGCATGGAAGCATCTTTGAAAAGGAAATAAATGTATTAATATATTTTGAAAGCACTTCAACACGAGGAAGAGAAAACTAATTATTATTAACAGATAATTTATTACATAAAATCTTTAGAATTAAAGAGGTGGTATAACATATTTCAAAAGATGATTCCCCAAGTTGTCTTCAAGAAGCACACTACGGTTACATTCTATAAATTTGAACATGTAGTAAATTTAATTCTTTTTTAACATAAATAAATAACTAAAGTAAATATATAAAGGTGTTTAAGCAATTAAATCATACTTCCGAATGTTTTAGTTTGCACACACATAGCCTAGAAATTATTCTACTGAAAAGATTAAATATTACATACACACACACACACATATATATAAATTGCATTATATTTTTATGAATTCACTGGACGTAATAAAAATCAAATATTACAAAAATATATGACATTAACCAATTTTTAATTAGAAATCATTAATTAGTTGGATTTTTCTCTTCTGTAATGCGCAATTTAAGAGAATTTCAAGTTATCTATTCAGCACGAAGATAAATTAGGCAAAAATGTCTGTTTTATTTATTTATTTATTTGTAGCATGTTTAATTAACGCGAAAGTGAATGCGTTCTTAAACGATATATATACTTTTCAAAAATGTGTTATTACATATAATGATACACGTAAAGCATTAAGAGAATAATAGAAAATTTCTAATGTGAAAGAAAATAATGTGAGGCTTGTTTTCAATTAAAAAATATTAAGAAAATGATTTACACCGAATAAAAACATTTTCATCCTCAAATAGTTTTTAAAACAACTTATTTGAAATCTGAAGCTGCAAATGCTTTGTGTTTGAGCTTGAATACAAGTTCAAAGAACATGCCAAAATAAATTATAAAAAGCTCTCCTTTTAAGAAAGAAAAGATAATCGAAGACTCTTGAAATTAAACGAATAAAAATTAATAATACACTCTTAGACAAAAAAAAAAAAAAAAAAAAAAAAAACTACGCATCACGACGCACCGAGAAGATATAAAGCAAATTGGACACAAATTGATATGCATACAGGTTTCGACGGAAAAGGCAAAATTTTACATTTTGGCTGCCAATGAATGAACAGTTCTCGCTACAGAGCAGCTGATCTGCGCAACTGGCAGGATATTTAAGAGGAGAAATTAGAATTCTAGGTCATAAATTCTTCACGAATTTCATTCCGTGTACTCTGGTAGAGAGTAACGTCCTCGCATACAGGCGCGAAACGATATGCGCAGATGTCAGAATTTGAGAGAGGTCGTGTAGTGGGTTCAAAGAAGCCGGTTGGTCTTATTGGCGAATAGCTCGACATTTGATCTGGAGCGATGCCACTATTAGACGATGTTGGCAGGAATGGGTGAACCATGGCCGCACACAGCGTCAAAAAAGAAGCGGTAGGCCTAAAGAAAAGGCAGAACGTGATGACCGAGCAATCGTCAGAGCGGCACTCACAGCCCCAGATGCATCATTATCATTCGATTGTACGTGCAACTAGTGCTTCAGTGACCGCAAGGACCATTCATAGACGGCTGACAGGAAGGGGCTAAGGTCATAGCCCCCCTTGCGCCGACTACCATTGACCTCTGTATAACGTCAAGGCCGTTTGCAGTGGTATCGGGCTCATTCGCACTGGAATGTCACTGACTGGAGTAGAATAGTCTTCAGTGATGAGTCCCGCTTTGAACTGAGCCCAGATGACCAGCGTAGGCGAGTCTGAAGACGTCCCGGACAACTGTGTGATACCAACCTGACTGTCTTCCGGCAGACAGGCCGACAACCAGGAGTGCTGGTCTGGGGAGCCATTTCATTTCATAGTAGGACCCCTTTGGTTGTCATCCGTCGCAACCTTTCAGCACAGCGGTACTTTGACGAAGTTCTAAGGCCAGCTGTGTTGTCTTTCATGTCACGCCATCCTGGGCTTACATTTCAGCAAGAAAATGCCCGTCCCCACATTGCACGTTTCTACTGCTTGTCTTAGTGCTTGCCGAAAATTACTTTGGTCAGCAAGTTCGCCGGATCTCTTTCCTATTGAGCACGTTTCGAGCATTATGGGCAGGGCCCTAACAGTTCGGATGTTGACGATCTAACGCGCCAGTTGGACAGAATTTGGCACGATATCCCTCTGGAGGACACCCGCAAAGGCATTACCAGTTGACCTATGGTACATGGCTGGTGTCCCCCATACTTTTACCTTTACCTTACCTCTATCAATCCATGCCAAGCCGAACAACTGCTTGCATAAGGGACAGAGGTGGACAGACGCATTACTGACATTTTCACTTTGTGAAGCTCTATCACTTCAATAAATCATCCAATTTTTATGAAACTGTAATCATTTGTTTTTCTGTACATGCACATCACTGCTATCGATTTTCGTCCCATTCGTATAAATCCTTCTCTCTGCGTCTTTTTTTTTTTTTTTTGTCTAAGAGTGTATAAGCAAGTTACATTTAATCAATTAACAACACTAATAAAATGAATAAAAATAGGTATAAAATGCAACAACCGCGCAACAAATTAAATAAACATACAGCTCATTGCTTTTTAATAGAAAGCATGTTTAAAAACGTTTTCACTACTAAATATGTCTTGAACGGTTGGCCATAGATGCATGGTTATAGTTTTAAAAATGAATAAAATAATGCAGTTTTTTAGGCTACGATAATTCTGGTTATGATTCCTTTTATTAAAAGTACGGAAAATTTATTTCATGCAGAGAAATTTATTTCATTTCTTTAACATCAAAATTACAAATTTCAGTATTTCTGCCAACGAGAATTTGAAACCTGTGATTTTCTATTGGTGTTTCACTAACATATAAGGTACTTTTCAGAAATTTAGATCCATAAACGTAGCACGCGTAATTGTCATTAATAATATTCTCGCATATCCCTTCACAATTTTACCAAGGTTACTTTCGGTAATTTTGATGACAAGGGAGATGGATGCTTTTGACTAATTAAGCTTTGAAAAGCATTTTCTCGTCAACGTATTCTTTCTGTGCCGCTGTATTAAATTTAAATTTTCATATATATTGTGCGTAAAAGTGTTACATAACCAATACTATTCCCAATGCATTACGGAGTGGATCAATGACCAATCATTCAAAAGATATTTGGTAGTGCATGCAGTCTTTTTGAAAACCTATAAGGTATTTCTCCCGCCATCTTAGCATGCCTTCGTGGTGTACTGGTCACCACGCTGGGCGTGTATTCCACAGGTCCATGGTACGAGTCCTGGCGAGGGCATTGCTCATTTTTCATATCTCCTCTTCCAAAATACTAATGTCTCTAGAGTGGCGCCGGAACTAAAAGGTGGTGAATGATGATTCTTCACCACCAGGATTTGGCGATTGGGTCCCCTTAATCCCCAGTTGCTCTTTAAAAGGGGGAGTATGTAAGGTATTTTTCCCGCTTTCTTAGCATGCCTTCGTGATGTAGTAGTCAGTACGCTCGACTCGTATTCGAGAGGTCCGTGGCTCGAGTCCTGGCGAGGGAATTGCTCATTTTTTACATCTCATGTCTTCAAAAATTCTAATGTCTCTACAACCCCTTGTATTTTTTATTTTCATGGTTTTAAAAAACGTGCGTATACGATTTTATTTACATAAGCTTTTCTTTCTTTCTGAGTTTTTCAATGCATATTAATAAACAGAAATGCAAACGAAGTTGCAGCTGCATTTAATAATTAATTATGAAATTAAATGTAATCTTGTATTTGATGACTTCGAAGTAGAAATTCCCAGAGTGTAAAATAGGATATATAATTTGGATAAAATATTGCTAATATTAATAGATAATTTACATACACATATTTTCAGTATGCATACTTTACCTTAGGATTCACGAATCTTCCCATGCAGATACCGCAGTTGAGGAACTGGGCTTCCCCGCTATCTCGTGAAGAAACCAGGCTCTCTGTGTCTTCTTCTGCCATTGTTTGCTTGTAAGACCAGTGGTCAAGAATAAAGTCGCAGTAACCTCCTACACCTGTTTGGTGTGGGTAACAGTCCCCAAGCTAGAAAAATTTTAAATATAATTTGAATATTACTGTAATTAGAAATATAATATTCAGAAATCGCGTTTTCACACATTTGTAACCTATCATTTACATTCTTATATATGGTAGAACACATTTACCTAAATGTGTGCATTTAGCAATTGAAAGGTAGTAAAGCATTTTAGTACATGTAATAAAAACATATAAATTATTATTAATTTGCTTATTATTTCCTAACTTCACCGTTTGATAAAAATCTCTGAGTATAATTAGCCAGCATACTAAGGAATCACATGAAATATATGCACGGAAGATAGCACTATATATGAAAATTCACAGCCGATATTAACGGAAAAGATAAGCCCTGAAATTCAAATAAAATTATCACTGAAGAAAAGAGTCCTTTATTTATTGCAGGGACTTTCAAAGAGGTTTATCAGGCTTTGGTTTTACTCGTTGTCAGATAACAGCTTGCTTGGTAGGCAAAAAAAATAATAATATAAAAATTACTATCATGCATTATTTAAATGTTTGTAGAAGAAATGAGATAAATAAAATAATATTTAATTTTTGAATGCAAAATTAGATATTTATCAAGTGCTATGTAAAACAGCAATTGCGATGTAATAATATGAAATATTTCCATATGGGAATTTTACATAAGAGCTAAATTTCTGAGTGAGCCGAACAAAATTCCAAAACAGTACAATGAATATAAAATTCATCGATTTTCCTTTAGCCCATAATCTTTGTGACATAAAATAAGCATATTTCTTTTCTTAGTCTTATGTTCCCGAATATTAAATATGTTGCCATTACATGTCCATATTGTACTTTTGCATTCTATAAAAAAATCAGACAATGTCATCTCTTATCAGTTTTTCTTTTTGAAAAATTCGTAGTGATCATTCTATGATGAAAAGGAAATTTACAAACTTCCTATTGGATTAGCTTAAAGCTTTTACCATACAAAAGAAGCCACAACTTTCCATCTTCTTTACAACCTTCTTTTTATAGGGACTATTCTGCATAACAGTCTCATGCCCACAGAGTTTATAAGATTTTTATTCTTATAATTTAATCACTAATATTAACATCTATAAATTTAGATACACGGGACTCAATCTTAGCCTATATCTATTAACATTACATAAAAAATTCTCTCCCATGAAAATTCCTATGATATAAAATTCTGCCACCTATTTCAGCATCTTCTATATTATGAAAAAACAGTTATTTTCATGACAGCAATCTAACAGATATATGCACTAGTAATTACATAAAAAAGATTACTTTCACAATAACGTAAAGGATCCAAATGTGTATTTCATGAAGATGGTAGCAGAAAACAAAAATACGGTCCATTCTCATTTTTTGCGAATATTCCGTTGGTTCTGAAATGTTTCTGCTTTTTCAGTGCCATTCCTATATTAAGAGCTCCCAATTTTATGAGAGAATTTCGAGTAAAAAATCGCAGAAGAAATCGTGGAGCAAAAATCAACGCAAGGGTAAAAGTCGTCGTACAAAACATTGGATTGGATTATTCAATTACGGCAAAGCACACGAGGGCTATCTGCCTAAAGGGAGGGATGCCTTCGTGGAGGACTTTCTAAGGGAAACTGGCTCGTATACACATGGGAAAAACCACGGAAACGCCCATGCAGCCATGCCCGTTCGCGGAATTCGAACCTCGGACCGAACTACTAGTGGTCAGCATCTTTACCGCTCGGCCGCTGGTGGGCACATTAAAAGGAAAAAAAAGCAATGAGAAAAAATCGCAGATCTAAAGCTTCGCCACATAAAGTAAACTGGTTGAAAAACTTCGCAGTTTTAAAACATCGACATACATCGGCATCATGGTAAAAAATAAAGCATCTCCAAATCATCGCACAATGATAACATCGCAGGCATGTGTTTACAGAATTTAAAAGTTTTGTATATGAAGATGCTAATAGCATTTCGAAGGCGAATAAGCTGAAGCAAAACTAACTTTGCTAAAAGAATATTAGTTATTTGCAACTTTGCTAAATGAATATTAGTTAACAAAAGTGAAGGAAAAAAATTATAAAATTTGATAACTAATTAAAAAAATTTAGTATAGGTAACCTCATACAATTACAAATTTTGTTCTTTTTTACTCTATTTTATATTATATCTTTCATGAAAATCTGTTAGACCGTCTTTATAATACAGACTAATTAAATAATAAATTTTAATAATTAACAGCATAAGTTTAAAACTCTACTAACGTAGTTTAGATTTTGAAGATTAAGTTTCATCCTTGCTTTTTCACTAAAACGTTATTAGGTAATATAAAAGTATGAAACATCGGAGTAAAATATTACTTACTTCTTGTTCGCGTCTTCTTCATCGCGCGAAAACGCACTAAAAATTTGATAGCCAGAGAACGCAGGTTTGCCATGTTATTATCATATGAGGATTTGTAAGTGCTTTATTTTCTAGCACGATATTTTATACAATCAAATTTTAATCCGATGAAATTTCTGCACCGCTTTATTTTCTACCATGATATTTTAGAACTGCGATGTTTTCTCCCTGCTTTCTTTTCTCCCATTTTGTTTTGCACAAAGACGTTTTCCAATGTTCAATGTTCACGGGCGTACTCAATGGTTTTTTTATTCGCAACATTTTTGGCGGATTCCTATACGAGTTCGCAGACTCAGGTCTCTATTGAATCCCTAAACTTTCCAAATCGCATATTTTTAAGGAAACACATCCAGTTCTCCTGAAAGTTTCAATAGAAATACTGGTTAGCTTAAAGTGATAGTGAGTTCGATTTGATTAGTTTTATAATAGTACTGTGTTTTTGAAGCAGAAGTGAAACAAACTGGCACATTGGGAAAGAACCAATATATGCACAGAGAAAAAGGAGTGCATTCGTAAAAAACTAACTTAAACTTTCTCAGTTTAAGTTCAGTTAAGTTCAAAAAGAAACTGTTAACTTTTTTTTTTTTTTTTTTTTTTTTTTACATACTTGAAAAATGGCTGCGAAAAGAAGTTAAAAAAAATAGAATGCTTCGTTATGGTTTGATAAAAGTTGTTGACTGCGGCAAATTCCAAGTCTTTTGCAAATGAAGTTATTGACTTTTTTTCATTTAATTGCTTTTTTAAAAAGAAGAGAAGAGAAAGGGAAAAAAATGCGAGCTCAGACAAAAGGAAAAAGTGCTATTGACAGTGTTAAAAACATTAATTTCATACTTATTGAATGTTTATAACGTTTTGAATGAAGCCTTATACGATGCAGTGGGTTTTAATACAAAGAATGCTACCTAAACAAAATTTCTGCCAAATAAAATGTAAAAATCGAGTTAAAAAAACAGACAGTCAAAAGAGAAAAAAAAATTACTTTTGAATCGAATCAAATATGCAGTTTTACTAATAGCTTTACAATGCATAACTATAACGAAAGAAAAAAAAACTAAAATACATGATTACCCACTATTTCATTTATAGAATTCCTCTACTTTAGATCATAAAGCGACAGAAAAGATTCCAATTTACATATTCTAACAGTTTTTTTAATTGTTATTATTACGGCGTACACAATAGCATTCGCACACAACGGCATCCGCCAAGAGGAGGGATGCACTGTGGAGAACTTTTACGGGAAAGTGGCTCGTATCCACATTACATGCAACCACGAACACGCCCATGCAGCTAGCGCGTTCGCCAGGATTCGGGAGGAAAAAAAAAAAAAAAAAACGGACAGAATAACGTGTTTAGCTGCTCGGCTGCCGACGGGTCTTTCTAGCAACGAATGCATATGGTTCCCTGCATATCCTTTGGATTCAACTGAACAGAGATATCTACGAAATAATATACAGAATTTCATCTATGCGATAAATTTGAGAAATTTTAACTATCGAGACTTGCTCATTGTGATGATACTGCATTAATATAGATAAATCTCTAAGTTCATTTGTGATTTATAACAATAATAACGCTACACTTCATTTTTAATAAGTACTAAATTACAAATCTGCGCTGCAAGTAGTGACTCATTTGTAGGACAACTATGAGGATTTTTTATGGTGATTCAAAGAAATCAATGTGATGTGTCATTCATATTACAATAAGAGAAATCACATTACGTGAAATATAAGTAAATATCGGGTTCTATTTTTTAGTTTCCCTAAAATTAAGAAGTCTGAGAACTAGACTTTAGACACATTTTCTTAAACTAGAACTTTCTGAAAAATACTCTTATGTTTTTATAAAGTTATAGACTCTTTCTTTGTCATAGTCTGAATGTATCATAAGAAGACCTTCGTTGTGTTGAAATATTTTAAAACTTGCCATATTTTGATTGAATCATATACTGATCGCGGAAGTATTCTTTGCACAGATCATTTAATTTTGTAGCAGCCGCAAGGAATACTTCAGTCCTGAAAGCTTTTGGGAAATTTCGTGTACAAATCAAAATAATTCCATTCAATAAACATATGTTCATCAATTTCTGATTTTGCTAATAGCAAGGATTGAAAAGAGTGCATTAAAGCTAGCGAGAATGCAGCAGTTCCAAGGCATTATGTAATCCTATACTACTAATTAAATAAGCTTGAAAGAAAAAACTTTGCTGAGGAAAGGGGTAAAAAGACTATTCTACGTATTTGAATGAAATCTACAGAATAATTTTTATGTGACGCAGCCACATCCCGCTCCAGCATTTTTGGCCCCCTACGCTATTAGTGCAGTTGCCTCCCCTTACAAATCAAAAGAATATACTTTTATTTATCTGCTGACATGCAAAATTTGCTGCCTATATTACCGATGCTTAAAAAGATGGCCATGTTAGCACCAAAATATGAAGTAATTACAAAAGTTTCAAAATATGGCGGTCATATTTTGATGAGCAAAATTATGGCGCCGAAATGCTTATTTTAAGCGTATATATGGCCACCAGTTGAAACGCAGGCTTTATAACGAAGTTTCATGAAGCTTTCAGTGAAATTGCTGAGCAAGTTTCATGGCGGTAATTCCACACTTGCAGAAGGTAA